AAGAACTAGGGTATGCTCATGAACATTTTGCTTCATTAAAACAAAAAAAATGTGCTCACAATTACATCACTATTTATAGCGGCTCTGAAAACTCTTTCTTAGAGATTAAGTCTAAGATATGGGGAATAAGTCTAGGATACGGGGAATACATCTAGAATATGAGGAATAAGTCTAGGATATGTGGAATAAGTCTAAGATATGTGGAATAAGTCTAAGATATGTGGAATAAGTCTAGGATATGTGGAATAAGTCTAGGATATGTGGAATAAGTCTAGGATATGTGGAATAAGTCTAGGATATGTGGAATAAGTCTAGGATATGTGGAATAAGTCTAGGATATGTGGAATAAGTCCAGGATATGTGGAATAAGTCTATGATATGAGGAATAAGTCTAGGATATGTGGAATAAGTCTAGGATATGTGGAACAAGTCTTGGATATGAGGAATAAGTCTTGGATATGAGGAATAAGTCTAGGATGTGTGGAATAAGTCTAGGATATATGGAATAAGTCTAGGATATGTGGAATACGTCTTGGATATGTAGAATAAGTCTAGGATATGTGGAATAAGTCTAGGATATGAGGAATAAGTCTAGGATATGAGGAATAAGTCTAGGATATGTGGAATAAGTCTAGGATATGTGGATTAAGTCTAGGATACGTGGAATAAGTCTAGGATATGGGAACAATGTCTAGAAAATAGGATAGTGGTTGGGGGGGGGGGTCTCAAATTAAACATTTTAGATCATGTCACCTGCACACAAATGTGAAAGCTGAGATTGTGTTCTTAAGAAAACTTGCCACCGCCCCCACCCACCCCCCTCCCCCCCCCCAACTCACAGGTGGGGGGGGGGGTCTCAAATTAAACATTTTAGATCATGTCACCTGCACACAAATGTGAAAGCTGAGATTGTGTTCTTAAGAAAACTTGACACCGCCCCCACCCACCCCCCTCCCCACCACCAACTACCATTTTAAAGAGAATGTTTTCAACAAATCATGAGTACAAGTGTAGAAAGAAAAAATAGAGCAGATTTCCACAAGAAATTGGAGGAGTTCATAAAGGGGCGGGATCTCAACTTTTGCGAGAGCGGTCATAATAAGGGTAGGGGCTATTTCTTTAATCGTTCCAAAGAGTCACATTTATCACTTGAACAGAAAGAACGAGAAGGAGAGAGAGAGAGAGAGTGCAAATGGCAGAGAGATAGGAGAGAGAGGGAAAAAACAGCAATACAATAAGAAAAAAGTGAGTAAAGTGAAAGTAACGCAAATGTTCGTCTAAAATAAGAGTTACTTTGTTACACTTCGGGTCTTAACTTACTAACGCTTGAAGTTTATTCGATAGAAAATAGAAGGGGCTTTATTTTTGTTAACATTTATGATGTAGGTTTCCTGATTCTTCCATTTGTTCTAGAGGACTGAGTCCTATTGTTTTCATTGGACGCTAAATTACATAATTTTGATGGCCTTATTTGTTTGACAGGAATCTAAGGGATACCATAAAAATTGTGTTCGACACACAACCACACTTCTTTTATTATGTTTGATTAAGTATTTAGGGTTCGATATCACTAAATTTACAAAACAAAAGTCTAACACTTTCAGCCATAGGACTTGTCGATTGTTGTGTCCATTCCTTTTTATCTTTTGACACAATCGTTGTTATCATTACATACCATCGGAATTAGCTTTAAAATTGACAATATTCAAAAAAAGCCTTTACTTTCGCTGTATTCAATTATTAAAAAAATTCTATTTAGCTGCCCGTCTTCGTCCGTTCACCAAAAGTATTAACAAAATTAAATAAAGGAACACCCATAAAGTTATAGTAAATGGGGCTCGTCAACCTCGGATGGTGAAATGGCTTATCGAGCTTTTAAGTAGGCCTACAGCCTTTTATATCTGCTGTAATTATTAAATTTTATCAAAACAGATTTAATGAAGTAACACTTTTAGCAGGTCTAACCTAACTGATTTCAATTGTAAAATTATAGTGGTAAAAGGGGTAAGGCAATAATTTGGTCAACATGGGCATCGAACCCGCAAAATGCGTATCATAATCACAACGCCATTACACAATTTAGCTAACACGCCATTAACTTTATCTTACGATCGGACATAATTAACAATACTTTACTTCAAACTTTTAACTGCATATATTTTATATTAAGGAAAGTGAGTATCAATAAAATAAAGTAAGTCCATATGAAAAAATCTCGAGGGATAAATTGGTCGGCTAAATTTTAACGTTCTAGGACACATATGTCAAACTCAAGGCCCGCGGCCCTTATCCGGCCCGCCGTACAACTATATTAGGCCCGCGAGGTCTTTACAGGCGCATACTATTATCCAAATCAACGCTATGGTGTTTCCTAATGCACACTTTGCTGAAAATCTTAGCTTTCTTCGCAACGAGTTCGTACGGCGTTTTATTGACTTTGAAGCACAGAAATGTAATTTTGAGCTGTTTCATAACCCATTTGTCATAGACGTGGAAACTGCACCTGTAAATGTGCAGATGGAGCTGATAGAGCCGCAGTGTAATGGGGCACTAAAGGCAAAAAAGGACAGAGTTGGGCCTGCACAATTCACTCGTTTCATTCCCGAAGAGATGCCCCAGCTTCGTCTACATGCCACTTGAACCTTGAGCATGTTGGGTAGCACATATGTGTGAGCAGCTGTTTTCTGTGATGAAGATTAACAAAATATCACACAGGAGTCGTCTCACTGATAAACACTTGCAGTCCATCATGAGAATCTCAATGACACAGAACGTTACTTGTTTGTGTATAGCAATGAAAATGTGCCAAACATTCAGTTCTGACAAATTGGCATAAGAACGAAAATGAGTATGCCAATGAATTTTTAATTATTTTTTTTTTTCTGTTTTCATTTAAATAAATGTTGTTTTTTTAATATTAATTTTCCGTTTATTGAATGTTTATCCTGTTCGGCCCGCAACATTAAATCTGCTTTGAGTTTTGGCCCGCCGAGCGATTGAGTTTGACACCCTTGTTCTAGGAAGTGATTAGTTTTCGAATGTAACAAAGTAACCTGTGACAAGTTGCATCAACAGAACAGCCGGACAAGTACCACTCATGTGAAGTTGAATCACAGCATTTTAACTAGAATGACACAGTTGTTAGAAATGTTTCTTTCCATGGTCAGCTATGTATAGACAAATAGCTATACATGCTACTATAGCTCTAAACAGCTAGCTATTGGCAGTCATGATTTAGCCTTTCAGATGGAGGAAAAACTAAACACAATTAATAGGAGCCAACTTCTTTATCATCTTGGGCCCGTCATTTTTTCTTTATCTTGGGACCCGACATTTTTTTTACTCTAGCGAACCGACATTTTTTTTTAAAATCTTGGGACCCGATATTTTTTATCTTGGGACTACACTAAACATTTTTTATCTTTGCACGCGACATTTTTTAACCAGAGGCCAGCTAAAGAAAAATAAATGACCGGAACCCTTCATTCGTCTTCCACTAGATGTATACGGCAAGAGTAAGAGAAAGATGTTAATAAAGACCTGGAGTAATGAGTTGATACTTCCTCTCCTTGGCAACGTCATCATCGCTGTCTTAAAGGGGAATAATCCAAGTTAGGGCGAGGGTCTAACCCCTGATGGAAGATAATCCAGTACTGAAGAAAGGTCTTATAGTTCCTGGGGTGGGTACTTGGCCCCTTGTAAACATATCAGTACACATGATGATTATAAACTGTGTTAGGATCTAGGTACTTGCGCTGGATGTGTTAATTCACCTAATTCGAAGTGATCAATTGTTCACACTGTCATTATCCTGTAGGAGCCTATCATAAGGGCTTCCGGTAATTCATTAATTCGAAGAAATTTATCAACAAAAATTGTTACGATTGGAGGAACATCTTTATTTTTACCCCTTTTTCACAAAACGAATAAAACAAAGTCCCAGCACGTCCTGAGATACGTAAACGTTTGCTGTCATGCTTCATATCCTTGAGGAAAAAACATTGATATCTAGTTTTCAAATGTATACTAACAATTTGTTCTAGCAGATGAGTTATGTAACTGTCGTAACTTTCTCTTTCTCTACATTTACGCGCACCATATGGTTCAGTGTGAAAGAATCTAATTTTGTCACAGCACTGTTGAACTAGGCGATTTCTTTACTCACACACGCATGTGTCCTATAGACCAACTCGGCGACACATAACTAATCTGGCCCGGTCTGTAGCCAGAGTGTGTAGTTTATTCGTCATGGAGTTGTGTTCGCACACTTGAAACAATCAAAACACTTAACAAGCTCTTGTGGGCCTACAGTTGAGGAAAAGGACAATGGAGGGGAGCAGGGCGTAGGCAAACCACGAGATGGACCTCTCCGAGACTGATCTCAAGACCAACGTTATCAGGAGACCTACTGTCTTGTCAACAGAGTCAACTTTATTTCAAATATCTTCATCGGGACGCTGACCTGAGATTTGCATTAAACAATGGCTTACTGGAGAAATGAAACATTTTCTTACCCAAAAATGTCTTAAAGAATTAGACTTTAAAAAAAAAAATTTATCTCAGTTGAGGGGAGAATAATAGCCCACATGGGTATGAGAGGGCTAGATAGTACATGGGTGAGGTCAAGCTTTTCAACAATTCTTTATAAATGTATACTTTTCTGTTATTGTTAATTTTCATGTGAAGCGCAGTGAGCCTAGCCCTAGGCTGCTCTATATAAAACCACCCTTAATAATAAAATAATATAAAAACGTTGGGGAGGCTGGGGTTTGGGTGTCTTTGGGCTTGTGGGCAGATGGTGTTATGAGGGGTAAACGTGTGGATGTGGGGAGAAAGAATCATTTTGTTTCATCTATGTATAAAAAACATATAACATGGTAGCCGCCTAACAACCTTATATTTTAACTCAAATAAATGCCGAACCTCAATTAAATGACACTTCCTGTGACGTTTTACACACGTACGCACATTATTTTGTATACACATTTTACAAATGGCGACCTAGAGTCAAGCGCCTTTTCAAATGTAGCCGGGGAGGGTTGGATAACTAGGGATGTACTATTTAAATTGATGTTCATTTGTCCCTTTCATGTTGGGTCAGATCCATTCCCCAAGTAAGTGATTTATCTTCTTCTTCTTCTTCTATATCTTAAGGGCCCACGATCAATTTATTGATCATTTTGGCTCCTATGCATGTAGATGGGATTTGCAATGTTTCTGTTCCTGGTGTTGATGAGGAAATTTCACAGATTTCCAGTGTTACTTTGTGAGGGAATCAAGCATTAGGGGTTTAAAGGCTTGAGGCAATAGACACAAATGTGTCTGGTGTTGTCGCCTCAACCGTTCCTTTTGAAAGATTTTCCAGTCCCTGATTGCCTTGGGCAGGAAGAAGACGCTCCTATACTGGCTTCTTGCTGGTATCTCGCCTTTACACTATTCAACTTCATCTCATAATAGAAAAATAATATAGCTAAATTCTCCGTAAAAATCAAAGAACCCCGAGTTGATCGTCACTTGTAAAAAAAACATCATTTGTAAAAGACCGTGGTCCAACATGTTGTCCACATAATAGCCTTTAATCTTCTTGACGTGTCCACAACATTTGCCACTTAATCGTCGGCAGTACGATGGTAACCAAGGTAGAACCGACCATATCATCCCCCCACGCAACATAGTAGCCCCTGATCAAGACACGTATTGCTTCATTCATTGTTTACCAACCGTCAGAATGAACTGATTTCGCTTCAAATTCGTGTACTCGGAGTTACAAGGTTTTGGTCTGAATTTGATTAACACATTTGTTAATAACGCGCTAAATTAAAAAAAAATTCTAACATTCATGATATTTAAATTGGTTCCATCCATTGTAATTTTATTTTTTTATTATTTTTTTTGTTTTTTTTTGTGTGGTAAATATAACTAACTGCGCTGATTCATAATTCAGAAATTAAAACTAGCAGTATATAAAATGACTTACATTTCTGTTTTCCACATCGCCTCAGTTCAAAATTTAAAATAAAATAAATTGGTAAAACATTTGTAAATGCAGGAATTAATTTAACATGTTGATTTGTAATGAAGTCTTTATTACAGGCTTTAGCATTCTCTAGAAATGATAAGTTAAAATGTTGATAGCAGATATATATATATATATATATATATATATATATATATATATATATATATATATATATATATATATATATATGTTTGTGTATGTCTCCGCGCGCGTGTGTGTTGTCCGTGTGAAAGAAAGTTGCTTATTGAGATCCTATCCGCTCTTTTAATATGCCTAAGCGTGTTTATCTCACACCTTCTCTTATTTCACTTCTAGCAGCTGGATTGAAAAGCTACACGTTTCGAAAAAGCCAAGAATTTCCCACGCCAACAACTTGCCAAGAAAACTTTAAAACTGGCGAGGACGCTTTGCACGGCTATGCCCCTTCTTGTCCGTGCCATCAGGAGGGAGCAGACGGCAGGCGCATCGCACGTCGCGTTCTCAACACAAAACTCAAAGATCGAGCTCCTTCACCGTCTGGCACATTTCAAGTGGATCAACTACGACCCAACTGTGATTCTTGCAAGTCTAGAAATATAGATCGACCCGCTTCGTCATCCCAGGCTCAAAATGGCGACTGTCATCCTTCGGGACCTACCTTCCAAGAAACGGCATGCACTGAGGTGATGCAGCTTCCAGATCACAATGATCCACAATGGCAATCACAAGTGAACACGTTAAGTCAGCAGGGGCCGAACAGCCGCTGTATGCAGTTGGGATCCCCAAAATTGAGGATCCCGAATAAGCGTTACATCATACAAACGATAAGACCCTTTCCAGGCCAGCGTGCCGAAGGTAAACGTTCAAAAACCATAATTGTCACCAAGGACCCAGACTTTCAACATTACACAAGCAAAGAAAACCCAGATAATCGATATTATAGTCAGCGAGATCAAAGTCTTCAAACGCAAGTAGAGTATCGTAAAGACAATTTAAATAATTTCCGACCATCTAATCGAGAGAGAAATCAAAGTGACATTTCAAAGGCTTTATCAGACGTGCATCACGTAAAATCATCTTCATTGTCGCATCTCTTGGATGAGGATACAGATAACTTGAACCCGGCTGGAGTTGATGGGCGTCAAGCTCCGGATAAAAAAATTAGCACAAGTCATTTCAAATCTTTTAGCAACCAACAAACAACAGGAAGGTTAACACGGGACACATGTGCTCAAGTCAACGTTCCATTACCCCTAAGGGATATAAGCATTCAAGAAAATGGTTTTTCAACCCGCAGAGACACGTGTGTTCAAGTCAACGATGAGTTGACGCATATTAACACTAGAGATTTTAGCTGTTTAACACAGGAGGACAATCGTGTACCTGAAAAGAAAAGTGTAGCGCGGATAGAAACGTGCAACCAAGAAGACGGTTGTTTGAAACAAGACAAATGCACCCAAGAAAGCGATGGTTTTCTACAACGTTATCTATACCCGCGTGATACATGCACGCAAGAAAACCGTGGAGTAATACAAAAAGACAAATGCACACAAGAAAACGGTAGCTTCTTCGCACAGAAAAATAAATACACTCAAGAAAATTATGTTCCAATAAGACAACGCGAGGTAAAGTACCAAGAAATTTGTAACGTGTGCCTAAAAAGTATTTCAGATGAACAAAATCGTCCGCCTACTGTTAACAAAACTTACATTGAGGAAACTAAAGATTTAACACCACAAAAATCGTCCCCACCACCAGACTGCCCCTGCAGACTTCAAAAAGTGAGCATGCCAGAAAATGCTCCTATCTCACCGCCAACAGTTTATCGACCAGAAAATGCTCCACTCCCATCTCATATAGTGTACGGACCAGAAAATTCTTCAATTCCACCTCACAAAATGTATCGACCAGACAATGCTCCGATCCCGCCTCAAACAATGTACCGACCAGACAATGCTCCTTTTCCGCCACAACAGATGTACCGCCCAGAAGACTACCAATTTCCACCTCAAACAATGTATCGTCAGGAGAGCCGTTCTATGCCCCCAAAAGATACCTTTTGCCCCAAACACCACCCTTTATCACCAAGTGGTATTCACAGCCCGAGAGAATGCCCCGTGTCCCCACAAGAACAGTACTACCCAGAACACCGCCCTATACCACCACCAAACATGTTCTACCAAGAACAACGAGCTATGTCGCCACAAAATATGTTCTATCCCGAAAATCGACCCAGTTCCCCACAATTAATGCAGGGGGTAAATGACTACTTTGAGAATGCCCTCGATGTAACCAATCAAGAATACCGCCCCCGTTATCAACAAAGCTCCTCCGCCTGGGATCAGCAAATTCCCTTATTTCAAAAAGAGTTTAACCAAGCCGATCCAAACAATCGTTATTCTAAAAGCTATAATGTGCGCCACGTTCCTCAAAGCAGGAAGGACTATGATCAGTGCCAGCGTTGCGAGGCCGATGGCTCAGTTCAGAATTTATGTCAAAATGTATGCCCACCACCTGGAGCCTTTAAAAAATACAGCGAAATTCAAGTAGCTGAAAGTGTAAACATAAACAGATATAGAAATGAAAACTTTCCCCTGGGAGAAGAAAACATCACTTATGTCAGCAAAGTGGGGCCTCAAGTAATTAGCAGTCAGACTCAGGTTGTTCAAGCTCGAACGGTGTCACAAGTGGGTGCCAGCCCAGTACATCCACAGGACACCGAAACGAATATTCGCGCCGTTGGAAGCAACACTGGACGCGGTAAAACGGAAAGGATTTCCCAAGTAGAACTTAGGCAACATACCCCCCCTGAAAGATTTTCTCGAGTAGAAAGCCCTCAAAATCTACGACCGAAATCTGAGAGGTCTACCAATGTATCAAACTCCAAAGTACAAATTCACCAATCAGAAAATGCAACGCGCGCAGGAAGCCCAAAAGTCAACGCACTTCAATCTGAAAGGCTGTTTCGAGTTAAATGCACCCCAGGTCAAAGTCCTAAATGTGAAAATTATTCAAGAGCATCGGAAATTCAAGGTCAAGCCTCCCAGTCGAATAGGTCTCTCCGAACGAAAAGCAATTATGGACAACAACAATCTGAAAGGTCTCTACGAGTAAAGGGGTCTCTAAGTCCAGATGCTCAAAATGAAAAGCTTACGCGAGTAACAAGCACCCAGAGTGAGGCTTTTCAAAACGAAAATATCCGTCGGGATGTAAACAATCAAGTACAGACACCAACAAACCGATTTGAAAACAATGAATATTTGTACCAGCCTCCGTGCCAAGGAACGCCCTGCACGAATCAGCAGTTTGAGACGTTACCCGGAACCAGTAGAAGCGAATGTGTTGAGGGCTGTTATCGAAGGTTAGTCTTGGAAGATAGGGACGTAGCGCCAGATAAATATTGCAGAGATCGCTGTCAAAATTTTTCAAGTGCAGGTTTGGCCGAAAATGGGCAGTACCAGCCTGATAGGTTGGAAATGGAGGGCTACACGAACAGCAAAGTCCAGCATGCTGATAGCGCACATCATGTTTCCTATTGCAAAGGGGGCTTGCCTTCAAATGGGCCAGGCTATAGCGCTAGTAAATCTAAAACAGACCTTTGGAGTGAAAACATTAATCAATACGGCTTTAATAATACACATTATAGTTCAAATAGCGATCCGAACAGGCTCACTCGCCAGCCAGAATATATGAATGGTGGTTTGCCACCACCTGAAAAGCAACGCCGTGTAGACTATGCCGAAACAACACAGGGAAATGGGGCGATGCCAGATAGATACACGAAAGTAGGCCCGGAACAGGGCTATTTCCAAAATCAATACAACCAGCCACCATACCCAGATGGATATGCTGGATATAACCCAATCAACTCAGCTAACATGACCCAATTCAATCGAAACGAGCCTCAGCTTTCCCAGTCATTTAGAGCTAATCAAAGGGAATACATCCAGGAAGGAAATCCCCAGCCACGATGGATTCCCCGATGTCAATCTTCAGAAAGCAGATCGTTGCCTCAGTGCGGTTACAACAATGGGGCACTTCAGTCGCACCAAAAGAATCGCATGCCCGGGATATACGAGCCTCGGTATTGCGAGGACGGTGGGTGTAATCTGTACTCAAAGCACTCCGACCCCCCCTCACCAAATTTGTCATGGACCAACCAAATCCAAGGTAAAGTGGGAAATAGACCGCCTGAACAGAATTATCAGACTTGCGTGATGAGTTGTGTTCCGGAATGTGGAACCTCCGGTAGAATGGATAATCGCAACAAGACGTGCGAAACTAGTTACATCATAAAAACAGTTACGAAAGGAACATGCCAAAACGATGATTGTCGCATTGAGCCGAAGTGCGACTGGGGCTGTAAGAAACAAGAGGTCCAGAAAAGAAGCAGGGCCACAAGCCCAACACAAGAGATAGATAGGTCGCAGAATCAACAGACAATTAAGATCAAGGCAGGGGGGAAAGGCCAAAACAAAGTTTCCGAAACCTGGCAGGAAAGACCACACGGTGATAACAACAACGCAAGGGCCCAACAGTCAAGCCAGCCCCCGAACAGCACACGTGATCACAGGGAGAAGAAAGGGGGTCCGCGGCGGTCTTCGGGTGCCATGGAATCTTTATCCTCTTGTACACTTATTGCTAATCCAAGCTGCGTTACCCTTCGTTCGCCCGACCTGACAAAGGAAATCACTGCAAACGTGGTTATACATCCAAATAATAGGTCCCATGGAGTTCGTCTTGAACAGGAGGTCATTAAAATATGCTCCAAAAAGAAGACGTGAATTGGAAGCAACACAGGACGCGGTAAAACGGAAAGGATTTCCCCAAGTAGAACTTACGCAACATACCCCCCCCCCCTGAAAGATTTTCTCGAGCAGAAAGCCCTTAATGAATTGTCAGTGTGACTCAGAGAGCTGCTTTGAAGAACCAAAGAAGTGATAAGTCAAATACAACTAAAACCTTTTGAGCAAAAGTATTGAAGACCATGCCCTAAATAGGATACAGTGTTCTGAGTTTAAATTTTCTTTAAGATTATACATATAATAAGTCATTAAAATAGTTTGAAATGGAAACAAATCGGTATTTGTAGGAATGTTTTTGTTATTTAATCCATTTACATGTTAGTTTTCAGGCATTAAATGAAAAGGAAAATCAATATTTAAAGCACCCCACAGATCTACATAAAGGATCGGAAAAGGGAGAAGAAATGAGCGCATATATTACTGTGCATTTTTAGACTCTTAATTACAAAAAAAAAAAACTCTTAACTCTGGGATTTAAAATGGCATAAAATATAGAGAAAAAGAAAAAAACAATTATCTGTTATATTTTTATATTTCTGAAGCAAATCTGGTAAGGAAATATAAAATAATTATTAATTTAGGACTTGATTACTAGAATATTGTTAAGAAATCCAAGTTGATAAGCGCTAAGTTATTTTCATTTTGGCTTTTGGTCGACATTTTCGTTGATTTCTTTGGTGTGTCGTTTATTTCACAGCTTGATCGCAGTCTCCTCTATATTATAATTCTAGGAATATCCAATGAAAAGTCCGAATTTTTTAATCCTTTACTAAAGTGTTTTAGTATTTTAAACAATTGTTGTACTTTATTCACCCAACCTTAATAATATCAGCGGGTAAAAGCTGTTAATACTATATTTAATCAGAGATCATACCGCGCTTTGCAATGGTTTATTATTGGCTATATATGGATACCGTTAAAATGTAGTCCACGTAATTTCACTGCATTCAAATGAAGGCATTTTATGACAGTTGACATACCTTATACGTTATGTTTTCCAGATGTGTATTAAGTTATTACTAAGAGGCGCAGCCCTCTTGTAATAGAGATTTATAGATGGAGAGCCTATTGACGATCAAGATAGAAGAACTTAAAACAAAAACAAAACAGCGTCAATTACGGATAGTATACGTATAGTTATGGAAAAGGTGCGTGGCATTTACGTAGATCTGAGCAAACAAAGTGGCGGTGAAGATCAATTTTACTACAGGCAGATATAATATATATATATGTGTGTGTGTTTGTGTGTGTGTGTGTGTGTGTGTGAAAGCAGGAAAGCTGACTCGCCAATTCATTGTTGATGGCTATTGCAAGACCCAGGAAATCCGTTTCCATTGGTTTCAAAAAAATCATAAACATAATAAGAGCTGAATACTATGATTTCCTTCAGCGATTTGTAAACAACCAGAATTTTCAGGACGTTAATACAATTAAGTTATTTTGCCTTCAATTTTCATAGGGAATCCATGAAATATTGCTAAAAATTACCAAGATACTATGGCAATGGTCTGGAAATATGGCAAATCTGACTTATTTGTAACATGCACCTGTAATACAAAATGAAGAGAAATCAGGGGAAAATTACTTCCAGGTCAGTAACTATTCGACCAGCCTGATATAGTAGCAAGAGTGTCTGAGTTTAAACTGAAATTGCTACTTGAAGGCTTAACCAAATACCATAGACATGGACGTGTTAGGGCTATGTTCCACGTGATCGAGTTCATGTTTTATACCAGGCAAGGAAACTGAAATTGTACAGCAAAAAGCCACCAAGTCCAAATGTCTGTCTCGGTTTAAACTTAATCGGGAAAGCCCAAACGCCCGAGAGTATTTATGTATTGAAATTCGCGAACACTATACATGAGATGACAAAATTCAAAATGTAAACCACGTCTTAGAGGATATGAAAATGAAACTGACAGTATGTTTACCGTTAAGTCCCACGGATTGAGAGAAATGGTCATCCGAATTTTCCTGCTTAGTGTTAGAGGAGCGCCATCTTTCGCGGACGTTAGAACTGTCGAACGACATCCTATCCCATTTGCAACTTTTCAAAAATTATACACTGCAAGGGGATTAACTGACGATGATTCAGAATAGGATACTTGCCTAACAGTATCTGCAACCCATATAATGCCAGTGCAACTTGGGCAATTTTTTGCCTTTATTTGAATCATGTGTTAGACGTCGGATGCAGCAGCAGTATTCGAGAGACGTAAGGACGATCCTATAGACCAGGCCTGCACAACTCAAAATGTAAGGCGGGCCGTAATACTTTATGAAAAACCTGTGCGGGCCGTAATACTTTAATGAAAAAATTGTGTGGGCCGAAAGATGATAGGACAGGGAGGAAAGTCACTAAGAAGATAATAATAAAATATTTCGTTACTTCGCGGGCCGCCAAGTGGCTGCTGGCGGGCCTCTTGCGGCCGTATGTTTTGCAGGCCTGCTATAGACTAAATAAGACTATTAGAGACGCTTTCCCGCTTGAGAAAAATTACTTTATTTGACACTTAAATAAATCGAATCAGTCCTTCAAACCCATGGAAAGCCATTGACAGATTTAGGCCTAGAACTTCCAAACGGCAACTATGATGAGCCAATCTATTCTGGAAAATCGGAAAAAACACATTCGAAGAAAAGTTTCAAATGCTCAACCCGGAGAAAGAATTGCTTTCGACAACAACAAAAATCAGGGAAGAACGTCTATTCTTTATAGATGGACCTGGCGGAAGTGCTAAAACCTCCCTTTACAATAAAACCATGCACTATGTGCATAAGGCAAAATGAATTAGTCTTGTCATGTGCATTTAAAGGCATAGCAACAACTTTGCTTGAGGGAGGCAGAACTTCATACAGTCTTCCAATAAATAAAAAAATCAACCTGCAATGTTCGACATGGTACTTATACGGGAAATGAGCTGAAAAAGGCCAAAGTGATAATCTGTGATGAAGCTTCAGTGGCTACAGCAAGTGGAGTAAATGCACTTGACACACCGTGTTAAGAATTCTTAGCCAAAGATTAAGACAAAAACAGTTTTCATTGAGA